ATACTAAATTTATATAATATCATATATAAATTTTTAGACTTTTTTCTTTCTTTTTTTTAAATTCTATATATGTATATATTATATTGGAAATAATCGTGGATATAAATATATATACTCCAATGATAACACCCCATACGTGGACGATTTGGCGCGCATAGCGCGCCATATACGCTAGTAACTATAATAAAAAGGAAAATGAAATCTTCGAGGGATGAGATCATGTCGTTTTTTGATAGTTTTTGGGAAAAAATATTTCGTTATAATTTTTGGATTTTGGGGTATTTTTGAAATATTTATATTATTATTAGTACTGAATAAGATGATTTTTTGAGAAGAAACATCTGTTCATGGGGTATGTTTTACAATTTTATGGTTATCTCCTTAAGAAAGAGCTTTATGGTTCAGTTTGAAAATCGAGAGATGTGGCCGTATTTTTGGTGTGTCTTTGACACGAGGATTCCATCGTTTTTATGAGGAGTACGTGAGTACGAAACGACTTGATCCTTGCGACTATAAAATTCCTGAATGGGGCACATCTGATCCGGAATTCAGAGCGACAAATCAATCGGCCAAAGTACATAACCTGCATTTTCAGATATTCATTCGGGCTCTCCAATGAATCCATTCGCATGACTCTAGGTTGAACAGACTTTGCGCTACACCGTGCCCAAGTTTCCAAAATCGATTTTGGTGTGCCAAAAATCCAATTTTCAAAAATTTCAAATTTTGAAAAAAACGGTCCTAGATATTCACTCGGGCTCTCCAATGAATCCATTTGCATGACTCTAGCTAGAACAGTATTTGCGCTACACTCTGCCCAAGTTTCCAAAATGAATTTGGGTTTATCAAAAATCCAATTTTCAAAAATTTCATATTTTGAAAAAAACGGCTCCAGATATTCACTCGGGCTCTCCAATGAATCGATTCGCATGACTCTAGCTTGAACAGTCTTTGTGGTACACCGTGCCCAAATTTCCAAAATCAATTTTGGTTTGCCAAAAATCCAATTTTGAAAAATTTCAAATTTTGAAAAAAACGACCCCAGATATTCACTCGGGCTCTCCAATGAATCCATTCGCATGACTCTAGCTAGAACAGTATTTACGCCACACTCTGCCCAAGTTTCCAAAATGAATTTGAGTTTGTCAAAAATCCAATTTTCAAAAATTTCAAATTTGGAAAAAAACGGCCCAGATATTTCCTCGGGTTCTCTTTGCATTACACCGTGCCTGAGTTTCCAAAATCTGATATATATATATAAAATCTTTAACAAGTATAATATTAAATCTAAGATTAATATTTACCTGGAAATTCTCCGTTAAATCTTCAATCGACGAAAGTACGTTTTTTTTTTAATGAATTCTCAGGCTAACGAGGTCCTCGAGACAGCCAAGCAATCAGCTGGATCATTAAGCTACGTAATTAATATCGATCGAGAATCACTCACAGATTGGGGAATTGAATGCATGGATGCATGGGTTGTGGCCATATCCTTGATGGGGAGCATACGTCTGCGTCCATTCTCGCACTCTGGAGTGCATACACTTGAGTACATTTGAAACTCATGATAATTGCCCATGGAATTTTGTTATCCACCATGAGGAGTTTGGGGAATGTTCAATTTGATGCTGGTTAACTCGTGGTTACTGTATCCTCTCGGATTTAATTGTTCGATGGTCGGGATGTCCGTTGACGTAATTATTCACATTTTATTTGTAATTCACTAGCGTATATGGCGCGCTATGCGCGCCAAATCGTCCACGTATGGGGTGTTATCATTGGAATATATATATATTTATATATTTCCAATGTAATATATACATATATAGAATTTCAAAAAGAAGATAGAAAAAAGTCTAAAAATTTATATAAAAAAAATAATTTAAAATTTAATAAATTATATTACATTTATATATTATATTATATAAATTTAGTATAATATATTATAAAAATTAAAATATTAAATATTATTATATAAAAAAAAATTAATATAATTTATATATATATGTTATTATATATATTATGTATTATATATATATATCATATTATATAGATATATTTTGATATGCATAGCGCCAAAAAAAGCTGACAAAAAACGTTACATGCTTTTTTTTAAAAGGGATTCTAAAAATAGACTGCCAATAAATCCGCGAAATTTATCATTCAGGCACAGTTGATAATTGATTCCAATATTGCATGCAATGCATTTATTACCGTAATATCGTAATATTTTCGGTAAATTTCGAAGAAAAATTTTAATTAATAGTCATGGTCTACAAAAAAAATTTTGAGCTAATAATAATGTCTGGAATATTAACGACACAGTTGATTTTAATTTTTTGAAAGGAATATCACAATTTGTACTTGATAAGTACCAGAATACCCTGTAGTACTTAGTGGGATTTGGCCTATTTAAAGTATTTTTATTTCAGTGATTTTCATTGCTATAAAAAATACCATCAAACAAAAAGTGTTCTTTGGATTTTCAGAAACCCAGCTGATTTTAATTTTTCGAATTCCATTGATTTTTGGAGGAGCTACGATCATTTATACTCGATTGGTGCTAAAATGCTGTTTAATATTCTGCGAGGCTTGAGCCATATTTACAGTATTTTTCATTCAAGGATTTCAATCCATCGGAAAAGAAAATCTGAAAAGAAAGTAAAAAAAAGTTCATTGATTCAAGAAAACACGACAATTTATATTTGACAGGCACTAAAATACCCATTAGTACTTTGAGTGTTTTTGATCCAGGTTTTCCCTAGGACGAACTCTTCGCAATAACGAATGCATTAAAGTTGATGTCACACGCAGTAATTATTCGTGAAACAAGCAATGGAGTGCAATTTGCATTTTTGAAATAAAATCGGCGTTAACATTCCGTTAACGAGGGTGTACTGTGAATTTCGTGGGACGCGACGAATCGAGAGGTCTCTGAGCTCCGTTTCGTATTTTCGTACTTCTTGCCCGACGGTGCGAACGAACGCACGTCAAAGTTTTCCCTTTTCGTCTCTCATGATTCCAGTGTACGAAATGCCATTTAATCGTATACGCCTCGGTGGTAAACTCGCCTGAAGGTGGAATAAGACCATTTCCACTCTCCCTAAGGTCTTTGGGAATCAAAAACCC